ATAAATATATACATATTCAAAAATATTTCTTTATGAAATTAATGATTGCTGATTTAGATTAGTGGTTTCTGAACTCTTTTGTCTCGTAGACCCCTTGCCATGCTTTTCGGTTTTGAGTAGACCCCCTTCTTACCTGATATAGATTTTTGTAAATTCATCAACTTTAAATGTATTTCTGACAACTGGTGTAGTGAAAGATTTGTATGATAGCTGGTCTGTGAAAGATTTAAATTTCTAATTGTAGTGATGTGTAGTGTGAAAACTTAAGAAAAAAACATATGATAATTTTATACATTTATGAATTAAATTCAAAACGATCAAAACAATTACGTTTTCACGTAAAAAATGAGCAACAAATCTCCCGTATCTTGTGCGCGGATAAAATTGAAGGTCTAGCTAGCTAAAGAGTTGACACACTTGCTAGGCTACAATTTACCTCGGAAAAATACTTTTTTGTTACAAAACAAAACCTTACACGTAGAGAAAATAAAAACATACGCGGGCGCGGAGCTGCAGGCAACTGCTAGTCTATAATAATTCAGTTTGTATATCAAAAAATAATCCTAATAACTTAAATTTTAATAAATTTTTTACTGCATAGCTACTTCTATGTTGAATTATGTAATGCAGATATGTAGATGTAATTATGTAGAATGTAGATAGATATATGTCTTTATATTATAAGGTAGAATGTAAGTAAATAGGTACTATCAGTGTATGTTGATTATTTCATTCATGAAATGCGAAAATTAAAATTCATGACCCGCTTATATGAGATCCACTATCGTTGACCCCATTTTCATTTCATGGACCCCAAATTTTTTTTCTCACTTGACATGGACCCCGTCAACCCCTGGAGATTGATATAGACCACTTTGGGAATTACTGATTTAGATTATTGCGAGGGCATATGACTTTATTCAAAAAACTATTTCTAAATTTCCATGAGTTTTTAAGGTGAATTACTTGAGAACAATGATTCAAGCCAGGAGAAATTCATGAAAAAATGCTGAAAAAACTATGTAACTGTTTAAAAATGTTGGAAAAATATTTATTTCAAAATACATTGATCTTTGACACATTGAACTTTTTAAAAAACATCATATTGTATTGAAATGAAGAATATTAATTTAATCAGTAACACAAGCCTTCAATAAATATGGAAAAACATTTCTTAATTTATCTTAAGTATTCTCTACACTTGCATGGTGACAAAGAAAATGTTAAGAGTCACTCCTCCTAAAATAAAATATGAAATTATCGGTTAAAATAGACAAAATTGTTAGTGAAAATGTAGGATATATTCGATGTAGCTTTTTTTAAAGGGTGTTTAAAGTTGATTTGTACTGCTGCTGGGTACTTTATACTGCTGTTAACAGCTCACAGGCTAACTGCAGTATTACCATAAAATATAACTATTTGAAATGCTCTTCTCAGTTCGTTTTTGAAAGGGAAAGTCTTAATTGTAAAATGAAGACATATGCAAATTGAAACGCAAATTTAATATTATAATTAGTATTGATGTTTAGATAATTGACTTTTTGAATTTTAAACCCAATAGCTAGGTTAAATTCCATTAAAATCTAGTTAACTAAATATGAGTCAACTATACTTATATTAGATTGAGTAATTCAGCACATCGATTTCAGATAATTATATTTTCGATTCAAATTATTACGAATCAATCACATTCTCTATATTTAGCCCCTTGACATACAAGGCGTCTGAGAGACGTCATTTGTTTCTTATGTCGAAACAATAATTGACGTGTCTCAGACGTGTTCGGAGCAGTTCGCATCTCTTGCGAGTTGTTTATCGTTGCGAATTGTTTGCAGTGCCATCAGAGATCATTTCTACATCAAAAAATTTAATATGTTAAGGGATTAATAATCTATATCTTTGAGAATTGGGATTCTCAGCTTAGCCTTGTAATTACATGAAAAGTCTTATCTTTTTGAAATTATGCACGAGATAATATGTAATAAAATATTTGCTTGGCGAGATTGAAATTAAATTTGCATGAAGAGACACTGTTGACGAAAGATATCCTCAGTGACTGTGGAATCAAAAATTAGAGTAACGTGCTCTTAAAAGAAATCTGTAAAATTTTCATTGTTTTTCACTCCGTGTAATGCAGTTTCTAAGGAGATTTCACTAAATATGAATTTGTTTTCATGCTTGTCTTTTTAGTCTAATACAAGATTAACTTGCAGATACAAAATGTCTTACATGCAAAAATATAAACAGAGTTTGTTAATTAATGCCATCAATATATTTGTACCCACTACAATGAACGTACTACTTGATATTCTAACAGAAAGTTTCATTGAAATTTTGGCTGAAATTATAGGAAAAAAATGGATGAAGAAACTTTAAGTGTTGTATTTATAGCAAATATATTATGAATTGCAAAGTATTAATCAGCATTTCATGTTATATTACGACAGAAATCCGCTGTGAATTTAAAGGATAGAATAATTTTGTCAACATATACCTGAGTGTCCTGCGGTTTTCTTGCATTTTACATTCATGTAATGCAAATGTGAATAAGTTTTTTTCATTAAAAATACCAAATAAAAAAATGAACCTCTAGTTAAAGCGAGTTTATCATATAGTTCAACTGGTGTATTGTATTTGAAGTTGCGTTATGTTTAAAATGTATCGAAAATGAAGATGAACGTTATTCCCTCAAAGTGACCCATATTCCTATTGTTCATTGATAGTTATAATATAAAATAACTGGAGTAATATTTGCTTTTGAAAAAAATGTTGATTTTGTAGATTTTTATATAGTTTTAAAAATTACGACAAGTACATTCAGTAAGTTTTCTCGCATAAAACACAAAGCTAGCAAACACTATCATCTATGATAACTGTATTACAGATTAGAGTTTCGTAATCTTTTTTATAAAGTTAAGTAAGTAAGAAGTTTTTGTTGGCTTCATTGATGTATAAAGTAACTATGAGGCTTGTTAATACTACTTGGAAAATATAACTCTTTCAACTTTTTTTAGTTCAACTTTAAATCACAATAAATGGGAGGCATAAAAAATGTGATTGTAATAAATTATATAAAATGGAATAATTTTTTTACTAATGAAATTTCTATTTCAAGAAGAGTCCGTGAGCAACAAAAAGAAAGGTAGAGCGTCCTACTAAAGTAAATATTGTAATGATCTATAATGCGAGAATGATAATAAAATGTAATATGTCGGACTCTTTCATCAAAAAACTTTCAGATTTATTAATAATTTTATTAAGTATTATAAAATTTAAAAAAGTATATATTCTTAGAAAATGAACTAAAATTTAAACGAAACAAAATATTTCGTATGAATAATTTTTTTTTATCACCTTATTTGAATGTTCAACTAAATTCCATGTTACAAAAAAATGTGAACAAACAAGTGAAAATGAAAGTATAAAGTAATGTAATACGAGGGTTGCTATTTATATTTCTGGCCTAATAATGAAAAAATAAATATGTAGGATCGAAATTGGTTTTATTGTTTTTCAAAATATTCTCCATGATGATCAATACCCTTTCGCATGCGTTTAAACCAATTTTCAAAGCTTTTTTTTCCAGTCCGATTGAGGTAACTCCAAAACATGCGTTTTGAATGCATCGACCGCTTCTTCGGGGGTCGAAAATCGTTGTCCACGTAATTTATTTTTGATGTGTGGGAATAAGAAGAAGTCATTGGGTGCCAAATCAGGGCTGTACGGCGGATGACCCATCAGTTCGATCTTTCGCTCCGTCAGAAATGCCTTTGTTTGAGTCGATGTGTGAGAGCTCGCATTGTCATGATGAAGAATGATTCGCCTGTTCTTCTGCTTTTTTCGAATTTCTCCGATGACTTCTGGCAAACAAATGGTCGTGTACCATTCAGAATTGACCGTCCTGCGTTGCTCTAACGCCACTGTTGCCACATGACCGTTAATGCCGAAGAAACAGGCAATCATTTGTTTCGATGTGCTTCTTCCTCGAACAACTTTTGTTGGTTTTGCCTCGTCTTGGAAGACCCATACAGTTGATTGCTGTTTTGTTTCCGGCTCATATGCATAGATCCATGATTCGTCACCTGTGTAGATGTTATACACAGCCTTTGATGTACCTTGAACGTATTTTTCCAACATTTCCTTGCACCAATCGACACGAGCCTTTTTTTGAGCGTTTGTCAGATTATGCGGGATCCAACGCGAACAAATTTTTTTTACGCTCAAATGTTCATGCAATATTTTATTGATGCTAGTCATACTAATGTCCAAAGACGCCTCTATCTCACGGTATGTCACATGACGATCTTGCTTTATCAGTTCACGCACAGCATCGATCTTTTCTGGCACAACAACGGATTTTGGACGACCTGCACGGGATTCGTCCTGGATCGAACATCGACCACGATTAAATTCGTTATACCAATTTTTTACAGTGCTGTAGGATGGCGCTTTATCGCTGAATAAAGAATTAAGTTCATCGAAGCACTCTTGTCTTGACAATCCACGTCGAAAGTTATGAAAAATAATGGCACGAAAATGTTCACGATTCAATTCCATTTTTTGAAAGAGAAGAACTTTTCAATTTACTGTCAACAACACAAATGAAGCTATAATGGTAAATCGTCTGCTGAATTTTAAAAATATCAGACTTTCGATTAAAATCGTCTGCGATCGCCTAGCAACACTTACTGTTGCCAAGGCCAGAAATATAAATAGCAACCCTCGTACTTTTTAGCATAATCTTAACGCAAAAGCTTGACAAATAATGCATTGAGATATAAATTGTAATAATCTCATTAATAATGAAATAAACAAACAAAACAAAATAACATTACACGAATCAAAAATAACAAAGACAATGCTAAAAGTGTAAAGTATTTGTATAATAAAAATTTTGCTATGATATGATAATGTTATGAAACGGTAAAATGAAATGATAATCGTAAAACGATTTACAATTTATGTTAGTTTAAGGAAATTAACATGATGTAAACACTTACTCAAATGAGCGATGAAGAACGGAACAATCTATAAAGTCTGTTGTTTATGAAAAAAAAAAGCAAACGAAGAAATCTCTCACATAAAAAGTATAATCATCTTTTTATATATCCCATACCAGTTGAAACTCATTAAATGTTAACTTTGTTCATGAACTGAAAAGTGCGCACAGCTATCACATGAAGCGCGGACAGTGAATGAATGGAAGAATCTCTTTCCTTTCGGTTAACTCACTCCCGCCTTCCCACTCCCTGCTGAGAAAATAGGTAATTAGTTTGTAACTTGCAAAGATTACTAGAGTTAAGCAATAACTGTGTAAAATTTCACTAACCTATCATAAATATTCATGAAATCTGAATATTTTGATAAAAAGAACTTTTTTTTTGTCTTACATTTTCTCAATATAACTGCAAAGATATTCAATAAAATTAAACAAATTTTTTAGTGTAATGTTTGATTAATAACAAAAATATCGCTTCAAAATTTGAAAAAAAAAATCAATTTGAATTGCTCAAGATATGTGCTTTTAAATTCCTTCTTTCATGATAAGTATGCAATTTTTGCTTTGTACTGCTAAACAAGATTTATTAAAAACGACCTCCGCACTACATAGCACCATCCCCTATTAAAATATGATTTATTTCATATATTTTCATTCCTAATATCGTCACATTTTGTTGTACTGACCACGTAATGATACATAATGAAATTTGCGGAAAATCCTATATCACTTAAAGCTTCAAATTTAAAAAAAGGTAATTAGAAAATTTTTGGAAACTTTTTACATTGTCAATATATTTTAATCTGGCTTTTTTCACAAGTTATCAATGGTTAAAACAAAATTATGAAACTTTTTTTAATGTTTTCCGCTCATAAGTACTGTAAAAAATTCATTTTAAATCCCATATTTTGTGCATTTTTTAACGAATTTTTTTCCATTTTTAAAATGTTATTTTTATTATTTACTGTTATTATTTTATTGTTTGAGAAATCTTGAAAAAATAAATTGGCTCTAGAAAAAATAAATTGCTTGATTAATTTTAAATCCCATATTTTGTGCATTTTTAACGACTTTTTTCCAATTTTAAAATGTTATTTTTATTATTCGCTGTTATTATTTTATTGTTTGAGAAATCCAGAAAAAATAAATTGGCTTGATTAATTTTAAATCTCATATTTTGAGCATTTTTAGCGACTTTTTTCCAGTTTTAAAACGTTATTTTTATTATTTGCTGTTATTATTTTATTGTTTGAGAAATCTTGAAAAAATAAATTGGCTCTAGAAAAAATAAATTGCTTGATTAATTCTAAATCCCATATTTTGTTCATTTTTAACGACTTTTTTCCAATTTTAAAATGTTATTTTATTATTCCCTGTTATTATTTTATTGTTTGAGAAATCTAGAAAAAATAAATTGGCCTTATTAATTTTAAATCCCATATTTTGTGCATTTTTTAACGACTTTTTTCCAATTTTAAAATGTTATTTTTATTATTTGCTGTTATTATTTTATTGTTTGAAAAACTAGCAAAAATAAATTGGCTTGATTAATTTTAATTCCCATATTTTGTGCATTATTAACGAATTTTTTTCCAATTTTAAAATGTTATTTTTATTATTCGCTGTTATTATTTTATTTGTTTGAGAAATCTAGAAAAAATAAATTGGCTTGATTAATTTTAAATCTCATATTTTGTGCATTTTTTAACGACTTTTTTACTAATTTCAAAATGTTATTTTTATTATTTGCTGTTATTATTTTATTGCTTGAGAGATCCAGAAAAAATAAATTGGCTCTAGAAAAAATAAATTGGCTTGATTAATTTTAAATCCCATATTTTGTGCATTTTTTAACGACTTTTTTCCAATTTTAAAATGCTATTTTTATTATTTACTGCTATTATTTTATTGTTTGAGAAATCTAGAAAAAATAAATTAGCTTGGTATAGAAAAGTTTCCATAATTTTGTCCAATCCCTGCTTATAATATGTTTTCTGCTATGTTCAAAAAAGTTACTATCGCTAATTAGACACCACTCAAATTATTTACACGCAAATTTCGTGCCGCTTCTATAGATTATTTATTTCCTGTTAATAATTCACATTGGATTTCCATAAAAATCGGATACTTCCACTAAAACGGGATTCCGGTTGAGAGGTTGATTGTTACATCAACCCCCCCCCCATGTTTTTTTATTATATATAATCAGTAAATTACGAGGTTAAGATAAAGCTATGATGATGATAAAATTACAAATGTGCTTGAACTGCAGTTGCTATAATAAGAAAGATTTGAGCATTTTTCTCTCGCTAGATGGCAGTTATATAAGCATTGATAATAATCGAGTAGTGTCCAGTCCAATGACTTCATTTCTGAAAGATGCGTGCAATAAAAATGATGATTACCAAAGCCGTTTTTTGTCGATATCTGAAAACTGTGGAGCTTAAGCCAATGTCAAGAAATATTGGGAAATGTTGATAAGATTTAGAAGGCAATCAAAAACAAACGTTTAGTGAAAGATCTTTCTGCGTCATCTCGCTGCACGAGAAAGAAAGACAACAATCAGATGAGGCAATGAAGGAGTTTCTACAGAAATTAAAATGGGAAATTCTGTGCTACTTAGCCTATAGTTCAGATCTGTCTCCTTGTAACTGCTACATTTTGTATTTGCTCAATAAAGCTCTGAGGAGGCATGTTTTAAACGTATGAAATATTCAAGGTGTGAAAGTGTCGCTTTTTCCTGAAGTCAATGGCTAATTTACGAAAATGACATAGAGTGACTAGTGTGATAATAGAACAAATGCCTTGTGGAAAATACTTCAGGAATTTCATTGAATAAATTATATGAAATAGCTTCTGATTCGTTATTTATTAACTTTATTTGCTATAAAAGCACACATCAAAAAACTGATAGCCTGTCAAATCTTTTTAAATCGAAATTAAAAAGCGTGTTAAAAAGTTAACCAATTTTGAAGGATTAAATTTGTCTTGAATTAACTGTGTTCCTTAAAATTAAAAAAAAATGCAATTCAACATTCTCACTTGTATCACTCATTCTTAAGCGTATTACGTTTATGGAAAGCACGTACTATTTTATCACTGAGGGAAGAGATAAAAACTTAATCGTTTTACAGACTTGCACATATCTGTAACCGTACTTTTAGATGCGAGGAAGGGAGTTAACTCCAATGTTTAATTAAGTGTGTTTTATGATATGTAAATCAAAGAAGTTAGATAAGCCTCAGTGTTTGCAGATTATAAAAGCATAAGTAATAAAAAGCTTAACTTCGAATAACATTCGAGATATACCACTCATATATTTTTTTCTTTTTTAAGATTTATTTTGATCTCACTTTAAATACTGAAGACTGTTCTTTCGTTACTCTTAAATTATGCAACAATTAAGTGCTCATAACACTGCGAAGCGCTTTCTGACGCATAATATAGCTTTTTACTAAAAACTAGATGAAGTGGCCAATAGCAACTCAACAATAAAGTACTCTTGTCTAATCACATGATTTAAATCAGATTTAATTGGATGCCTGTAAGAGACAGCATGCGTGGAACCTGATTAGCTTCTGAATCGATTTGAAGGGTAGCGAACCTTACAGAATACAGTAAAGTACAGTTATGTATGCATCATTTAATTTCCACTTAATTTATTTAAACTATTTTATTAACCAAATTATTTCCCTACATGAACATCCAAACTGTTTTGACTATTGAAAGCGCACTATCTAATAAATCGTATCAGACAATTACAATGGAATATCGGTTGTATAATAAATGGATTGTTTTTGAGGGTGGAATATTTGAACACTTTGCACAGCAAGCCTGATGATGAAGCAGAAATATAAATACTTTACCTGACTGCAATAAGGGAATAAATTTTCATATTACAGCCAGATTTAATTGTCAATTTCTCATACTTTCGAGAATTTATCTAAAATTAAAGTTTGGACCTTTTCAACTTGTATGAGAGCTAAACTTTCAACCACAGCTTTGACCCTGATGTAAATACTTTTTACTACTGTTACCTTGCAAGCAAAGTATTGTTGCAAGCAAAATTTATCGTTATTAAAAACGTGAATCTATTTGATCTAATCAAACTAGCAGGGGATATTGTGACTCAGAGATTCGAAAGTTTGTCTCCTAATAAGGTAACTGGGGTTCGAATTCCAGCGAAGACTAGTTGTTGACGAATTCCGCACCCGGCTAGCACCGACCACAGTGCTGATTTGAAATATCTTCAGTGGTAGACTGAATCATGGTTTAGAGTCCGTGCTAACCGTGAAAGGTTGTCCCATTCATGGTTAGTTCCATCAAAAAATCCACCACGAAGACTAATTTCTGCCCAATACTAGATCTAGAAAATCTCTTGTCTTCTAGATTAGGTTCAAAACTCAACAGGCTACGAGTTGAACATTAGTAGTCAAAAACTCAAAAGTTGGTCGAGTGTTTAACGACAGTTGTAAAAAATCAAACTAATCAACAGACAAGTAACTAAAACTAAAAAAAAAAAACGTTTAAATAGTTGAATTTTTAAAATATGCGTTTTTCTGTTTGCAGGAGAAAATAAATGTATTTTTGTCTTACTTAAAACTAAAAGCGTAGGGTGCATCATTTTAACAATAAATCATTTTAACACCACCGAAAGTAATGTTTCCCATCCACAAGTTTGTTTTAATAAAATTCCTGAAATGGGCTAGTTAAATATTTTTAAATTTAATAGTAGCTATCTAAAATATAATTAATAAATTGTTCTTCTACGCATTCAAAATTGCATTAATGGTTACATAAATAAATATATCCAAGAGAGAAGCACATTTAAATAGCACCGTTATATTACTTTGCTAAATTAAAATTTTCTTCTCAAAGCTGAAGTATGACCAATCGATTATTGTTTTATTGATTTGAATTATAATGAAATGTTTGAAATGTTGATTTATAATAAATTGACTGATCAAAACATGCTTGGATACTCCAAAGAAGATTAATTTTGAAAATAAAATCTATCACCAATTTTATTTTTGTAACCAAGGTGCAATTGAAATGTTTTTAGAGATGGTTTTTCTAGCTGATGAGAAGGTCAAAAAATTGAAACGAAATTTTTTTTTCAATGCTGTATTAAAGGGGCAAAATGTTAATCAATTTTCAAAATTTTTTTGGTTTTACTTCAAATATCAAAATTTATATTTGGAAAGAATTTGGCAATTTTAATGCGCTGTTTGTCCTACTTTATTTATTTGGAGTTCAAAATTTTAAGCCCAAGTCATCATCAAGATTGCTTAAATTGTTCAACAAGTTATGCGTAATACTGTTTAATGTAGGATTATTTTACGCTCTAATTGAATTTAGCGAATACTTAATTTGGTTTTGCACAGATTTTCAATGCAAGAAAGCTATTTTTTCTCGAATTCTATGGCGAATTTCTATTTGGGGAAGTTGGATCTCCTTCCACATCAAAAAGCATGATCTCTTAGGAATGTTCAGTAAATATCATTCTTTGAATATAACACACAAGAAAAGGCTTAACAGAATGACAAATATTATGACGTTTATTGCTGTGTTTTTTTATTTGTCGTTAGCTTTGTCAATCATATACGCAGTGACTTTTCAAGAATTTGTTACTGATGTCTTATTTAAAGAAATGATTTTCCTTCGATATGCTCCATTGTCACCCCAGCAAAAAAAATTCCTCACTATTACTTTCTATTTATTTCTCAAATTGCCTATACCAATGATGATTAGTTTTATCACGATATTTTACATCGCGTGGTGTGAGCTTTTGTACAATCTCTTAAGAGAATGCTTTTCGTACTTAGCGGGCAGACCAGTAAATGATTTTATTATCAAGTATGAATTTGTTCACGATTTAGTCATTTCATCTGAAGCGGCCCTTTCAATGATTTCGCTTTTCCTCTGCTGTTCTCATTTCATTGAGCTGTCTCAGTTGTTTGTCTATACTTTGGGATTTTGGTCAGAAGCATTTTACGATCAGCAGATTCACATGCAAATGGTAGTTTTTGCGGGATTTTCATTATTAGGTTTCTTTTCCGTAGGTTTCAAAGCAGCGAAAATTGGCAAAGAAGATGAGTCACTGAGAAAAATAGTTAAGAGAAAAGTTTATTCTTTGAGGACATCGATGACAAACGCTGCTGAGGGTGACAAGCTGAACTTATTTATAGAATCCAGAGAAAAATTAATGCTAACAGCTGGAAACATGTTTAAATTCTCTAAGAACTATCCATTCACCTCTATTGGTATTATAAGTACTTATAATCTTTTAATTTTGCAACTTGACGTTGATTCCAAGAAGCAATGAACTTAATTCGAAGAATACTTTTCCTTGGTGAGGAGATGATATTTTCTGGTTAATAATGCATCAAACATGAATTACATGGCCTAAAAAGTAAAAATGCGACTTCAGCCACGCAAACGTCACAGCCTTTTAGTAGAGTGAACCCATTCATGCATCCATTCATTCATCCACAAATTGCAACTTTGACCTGAACCACAGAACGATCAATCTCTAGTTTAGTACTCCCAGAGGTATTGATCTGTTATGGAATCATGCAGGACTTTGAAATTTAACGTGAACCAGTTATCATTTACTTCACGGGAAGTCTTCAGCCGACGGAGATCGAACTCATGAATATGGGCCCAACCTGGGCCCATATTCTCTACCAACCTGGCTATCCCGGCTTTCTTCTTTTGTTGTAAACTCTATTAATTAAAACTCCTCATGCTTATAAATGGAAATTCAGACCTTCATTTCCGAATTCTGTAGGATAAAATTATCTCTAAATTAAATAAAATAATCTTAATGAATTAATTCTTAATTTTTCATCAAAATGAATTCATTTCCCAGTGAGATGAAATGAAATAAACCTAACGACAATAAAAATTCAGTGGATTTCCTGCATTTAATATGAAAAATAAAATAATTCTTTTATGCAAAAAATTATATTAAATTTCCAATAAGATAATCTAATCTATTACAACCCAGATTATGAAATCGTTAAAAAAAGGACTTTCCGAATAATATATATATTTTGCTCAATGACATTGTATTCCAGGGCATGTAAAGTGGACTTTCTGAGTCACTTCACCCCTCTGGCTGGAGGTGTTGTCTCAGCGTATAAAATACAAAATTGATGATGGCGGCAAGACTTAGTTCTCATTTAACAACTAGTTATTTTCAGTTTGTCTTCTCAAAATTCAGATATGGCGGATATCATCTCAATACTTTTCAGAAGTTAATTCAAATTTTATTATCATCCCAAACAAATAACTATTAGGTTATTTCTATATTCAAACAGAAAATTATTATGGTACGAAACTAATGTTCTAGAAAAATGTTCATCATATAAACTGATTGTTATAAATTTACGTTATATATCTTTCTGAGACCTGAGTTTTGAATAATGGCCCGTGCGAATTTTATTCAGAAATAAGTAGACTCTAATTGCGACAGTATGTATACATTTTTTAAAATTTAAGTAATAAAACTTATTTATACTTTTTTGTTAATTATTTTTAACAATGACATAAACTCAAACTTTTCGCATTTTTTGTATATTTTAGAATGTTTTTATAGTCCATTTCTTCAGGGGGTCGTGGAACAAAATCTACTGGACTCTATTAAGTTATTTATGTGCCATAAAACTAACGGTAAACTAAAGTAAATGGTAACTCGAATTGAATGTTTTACCTATCTAACAATTTTTCATTGTAATTAAAAATTTCGACCATCGAGGGTAGGTCCAATTCTATTTTTAATGAACAATAACTTCGTGAAGGCAAGAAAATAAAACAAAATTAATATTTTTATAGTGATAAAATTGCATTAAATGTTGTCTAAAATATTGAGCGCTAGAAATCATGAGGATATAGTGTATATATCATACAAGAGTTATTTAGAAGAAATTATACAAATAATAAAATAAGACAATAACAAAAATTTTATCGTTTCCTTTACAATATTGAAAAAAAAGAAATTAAATAAAAATGCAAATTTTTAACTTTTTTAAAAGAATTAAGAAATAATCAATGCATTTTAGCAAAACTCAAATGGTAATTTCAAAATAATAAGCAAGTAAGTCTAAAAAAAATTTTAAGTTTATCAAAATGTAGAGATAAACTACTTATTTTTTCTTAAAGGTGATACTTTGCAAAATATAATTTTTAGTATTCTTTCCAGATTCCTATCAGTCAAGTTTCCAGAAATGACACTAAATAACAACATATAACGCAGAAAGATCTTAGAGCATACACAGTTACATGGCATAAAAATAATCTAAAAAATTTTAAAATGTGGCTTTTCAATAAATTGCCCCAAAACATAACAATTTGTAGGTGTCAGTAACTTAATTTGTTTTGTGACTACGTTTTTATTTTATTAATAAATATTTTGCGCAATACGTCAGTATTTAAAAGTTTCGGGTTCGAATATGAAGGAAACAGTTTGAATACTGTTCATTAATTCATTTTTAATTATCTTTTTAAGTTCATTACACTTAATATAAAGGCAAAAGTCAATTATATGTGTAATGTGGGCAAATGTAACATTTATTAAAACCACTAAGGAAATATTTTATGACTTGTAATTCACAAACATTATTACACAAATTTCACAAGACAACACATTTACACAATGTTTAAAGACAGTGTTAATATGCAACAATGGTTTTTGAAATGTAGAAAAAATGAAGTACTAAATTTTATAGTAAATATTACTTTGATGAGAATATGGAATTTAGCTAGCCGTCAGATGTACATGTTATTATTGACTGTGTGGGCTAAAATGCAGTGCAGGCTTGCACTAATTAAAATATCAATTAAACAATATAGCATTAACATTAACAAATATAGGACTATATTTACAATATTAATAATAAATTCTTGTAATCAACAATTGAAATGAAAAAATAATGAATATTTTAAAACTCTTAGTTAAGAATTATTGTAAATTACTGATGACTAAGAGTTTCGCAACGATTCTCATAAAAAGAGTTTTGAAAACAATCTTTTGAAAGCTTAAATTATCAGGGTCAGCAAACTTGCCTGATTTGCAATGTATTATTTCTAAATGGTGTAATAACTTTAATAATATCTATAATATTTAAAATAAATGCAATAAATTTTAAGAAAAATGATAATATGAATCAATTTGGTCCCATATTAAGGTTCAATGTGATTAGTAATACAATTCAACATACTCTAAAATTCTCAAGCGTGTTTTTTGAACTTTTCTGAAATATGTATTTTATTATACTTTGAGGAAATAGTTTAAGTACTCAAGCTCATTTCGCTTTAAAATAAAATTTAAAAAGATCTCAGAGGGATAGATCTCAGAGAATCTATAATAAAGTGGATAGTTTCTCTGTGTCTCTTTTATAACTCCTGAACCATAAATGCTAGTGTCTTGAAATTAGGACTGTGAATCAAATGGATAATTTCAGCTCCCGATCCTTGAAATCAGTTACAAATTTCTGTTAGATTGTTCTTGAAAGACGTTGCAATTTTTTCATTGGCTTAGAACTCGACATTGATATAAATTAAATTGACGATGATACTTTTATTTTTAAATATTTTGAAGATAGCATCAGTTATGTTTGCTTGCTTATCATAGCTCTCATTAATGGAAAAAGGGGTTTAATGCACGTTCTCTAATATTTGATTACTTTTATTCATTATGCCAGATAAATTCAATGATAAGCGGCAGCATGGTAGCTTTGGTGGACTACGTCATCAAATTAGTATACCTTAAGTAATCTGAAATCTGGTGCTTGTTTTTTTATAATTTTGCATTTGAAATTTTATTTTTATAAATTTAAATAATTTAAAATCAATGATAATTGGAATACAATTTTTTATACAGATGATCGAAATTAATGGAAAATAAGTACTAAATCATTTAGGAGAAAGGTAAAAAATCATCCACTCTCTTATTAACGCCAATAATGCTTGATTAAAGGTAAAATTTAAATAAGAATAATAAGCTACGTACTAAATAGCAAAATTAATTGAGAAATGATACTGATTTATTTGGGAAAAGCATAGTAAATTTCCGTACTATCATTGATGCCTATGAGGCTTAATTAGTTTTGGTAATAGTTACTAATTAAAGTTCAAAAGTAAACTATGCAATAAAAAGTAAAATTAATAAGAAAATATAAATTGTTTAGGTAAAAACAATTTCTTTGTTATTATTGAAGCCAATGATGTTTGCTTAATTTTGGTATTATGCACTATGCGTAATTCTAATTGGTGCCAAATATACTAATAAGGCACTTTTCCATTATACCGACGCAGGCGATAAAATCGCCATAAATGACGCAACGAACGCCAAACGGAATATCGCTTCCGGTAACCTTTTGCCTCCATATTTTCAAAACAAATCGCTGCCATTTTTACCCCATCAGTCTTGTCTTTTTCTTAATACGAAAAATTAAAGTAAAAAGCTATGAAAATTTGGAATTTACCCTAGAGGAAGAAGCGGTCAGATTCTTTCCAGAGAAAGGGGTTTTGCCTGAAATCGTAACTTGTGATAAGAATCATGAAATGAAGTTGCATATCGGAGATGAAATTCAATGGCTCTGTAACTTTTCATCTTGTCGCTGTAAAAGAAGTGTCCGTAAGGGCACATGGTTTCAATCATCGAAATTGAGGTTTTTGAAGTGTGGGAGGTTTATTCATTGTTGGAGCGAAGTCAAATGGTGTGAAAAGCAATTGGAAATCAGTCATGGAACAGTTGTAAACTGGAATAACTTCATGCGTGAGGTTTGTGTGAATTCTTAGCTTAAACATGAACAACGGAAAATAGGAGAATATGGCATGATCGTCGAAGTGGACGAAAGTTTGTTTACGAAGAGAAAAAACAATGCGGGACGGATCCTTCCACAACAATGGATCTTCGGTGGAGTTTGCCGGGAAACGAACGAATGTTTCCTCGTGGAGGTGCCAAATTGATTCATTAACACTTTATTGAAGGCAATTAAGGACAATATCGAAAAAGAAACTATAATATATTCCGATTCATGGAAATCATACAGTACTAGTTAGCTGGAAGATGAAAGTTTCGAACATTTCAAAGTGAACCATAAGTACAACTTTGTGGATCCGGAAACTGGAACGCACACTCAAAAAATGGAGAGACTGTGGGGCAGAGCTAAATGGCAAAATAAGAATCAAAGAGGAACGGCACGCCCTCATCTTGAAACTTATCTTGCAGAACTCATGTGGAGAAGGCAAACGGAGGACCTATTTGAAAAAGTTCTAAGCGATATTAAAATTTTTATGCCTCCGAAGTAAAAAAAAAAATTTGAACCATTTATAAACTGTTTCTTTATGTGTATGCTGTGTGCTGTGGTCAATAAAATCTGCTTCGTGTGATTTGTTTCGGCGACTGTGTGCCGACTCAAACTCGCCATGAAGTCTGCTTGGTGAGATATGCGCCGGCATTATGGAAAAGTACCACTAATATAATCACAATTAATATATTTGATACCTATTAAAACCAGAGATAAACTTTATTTATACCTCCATGATTAAAAGTGCAAACTACGTAATATATATATATTGTGGAAAAAGATTCTTTATGGGCCTTCGAAAAGGATAAGTACCAGAGAAAAACGCATGATTGTGTTAAATTTTGACTATCATCAGTTGGTCTTGAGTAATAGCATCATGCTAGAAGATACTAAAAGAAGCTCATCTATGTTTTGAAAAGATGAACTATGTATATTAAAAGCATGTTTTGCTTAATCTTATAACTTAAAATCATTGGTAAGGGTAAAGAATAATAGTAAATGAACAAAAGGAAATATTTGTTGCGTTGCCATATATCTTTCAGTTCTGTGCATGATTTTGCAGTTTTGCTCAGTACTGATTAATTGATCCTTCAGTTTTTTAACCTCGTACGTTTAAAAGAAATTTTTTTCCCGTTCACTGCTAGTTCCCAATAAAAGAAATCCATATTTCAACAAAATTCTTTTTTAGACTCTTTTGATTTGATTATTCCTTAGATTCATTTCTTAGACATTCATTACAACTGAACACTGGAAGCGATCGAAAAATTTATTATTTTTTCCTTTTTTTCAGGAAACATACAGAATGCGTAGCACCATAAAGAATTATTTAACTTCAATGACAATCACAATGGTATTTTGTTCATGGCTTGAGGACAGCAATTGTTAAGAGACATCATGATATCCACAAAACGACAACAGTTCCGACTGAAAACTCAGTTTAACGATATTTACAAAATACTATGTCATATCACAACATTTAAAAAGAAAGTTACAAAATTGGAACACCAATGATATTCGAATAACAATGTATTAGTAGTTAATTTTTCAACGCTGCAGGTCTTCTCAATTATGTGTCTAAACATGAGATATTTCTCTCAATTCATTATCATTATTGTTATTAAATATACAGGGTACTTCAAAAATGCAGCGACAACCTTTTTAGGAAAGTAAGGCACACCATACAGTATGAGAATTGCAAAGAACCCCTTGGCCGGATAAGTAATTATATGCGTGCCGAAACGCCCCTCATTACTGTGGAGCTCCAGATTAGCGGTCCCAATATCCAACAGGTGACTATTACATGTAAAATGGCAATAAAAATACCAATTCCTAGTAGCCAACAGAGGTAACCATGTTACAGGTATAATATAAAGGAATAAAATACACGGGATTTGAAAAAACCATCGCAAATTTGAGTTCTATCAAAATAGTTTTATCGGAAATTTTTCTTACGAATCGTCTCGTATTTCTTTTTTAAATTCTGGTATTTTTAATGCGATAATATGACACGAGAATATCGAATGCCGTTTTTTAGTAATTTCTAAACTTGATGTGTGATAAAAAAGAATTATAAATTAAATATTAGTATGTTTTAAAACATAAATTTTATATATTTTAAAGAAAATCCTTAAAATATGAAATATGATTTAAATGAAAAATACTGAGTGGCATCAAATAAATCAATTTTTCCTAAAATAATAAATTTAATCAACCACCCTAATGCTGTGCTAACATATTTAGAAAGTGGATAGTAAAACTACGCAAAATACATAAGCGGCTATCACTTTTCATGACTCTTTAAGCCAGTGGCTACTACAGGCAATTACTAGAGCAGAGATTCACATTATTGTAATACTACTGAGCACTTAGAAGCTATTAATTAATAAATAATTGAATATAATTAATAATTAATTAAACTATCTCCAAAAACTTCCGACTCAAGTCAAGCAATCAATGCTTCTTTGGTGTCGGACATGCTTTGCATCTAATGTTGCAAACTTCGCCATCTGTTTTAAAATTATAAGCTGCATTGATCCAGTTCATCATTTGTACACAGGTTGTCTTATCTTATAAGCGTTTCCAATTAACCACGCCCTTACAGATATTCAGGCACTTTCCCCTCAAGTTTTCAGCCATGGGCTGCTACGCAATTCTTAATCCTTATGTGCCTTACCACCTTTAAAATTTTCTTTAATGCAATCTGCATATGGAGTGTATAATTCTAAGAAACTCTGAAGCAAAAAGATACATTTCATAAATTAGAAACTTCATTAGGTTCGTAGTAATTTTTATACTCCCGAAAATAGGCCCCCATTCTTAAAGGTTCAACACAGACGTGAATGAGAAAAATAAAGCAAATTTGAAAAAGAAAACGCAAAGTTGTTAATGAAAAAATGGAAAATGAAAATAATAAAAAAAAAAAAGAGAAAACGTGGTAGCCGAAAGTAGCAAATTAGGTGTTATGAGAGGCGGTAAGCAACTCATGTCGTTTAATTGTGAAATCGGCATTCATATGAATGAAAAAAGATTCCAGAGCATCAAAGATGAGTTGCTGTAACTGGTGGGACACATTTTGGCGTTATTAAAGTTAAATGTATGCCTAAGATTCCAACAAAGTGTAGAAATAGACGGTTTATAAATCTTCAAACCTGTTCTCCATTATGAGCAATGAATCTTGAGAATGAGTGCCTGTTTTCGAGCATACCAAACATGTCAACATAATAAGTTTTGAAACTAATGAAGTTTTTGCGTTACCAAATCGACTTTAAATATGTTGAGGGTTAGCAAAAATTCAATAAATGATATTTATTCAATATTCACTTTGAAAATTAAAAAAAAGTGCATTATAATACACCATTAAAAAAAGTACATCAAATCTGTAAACCAGTCCCGTCAATCACATTAAGGTGGATAAAAGCTAACCACCGACTAGTTACAAGTAAAAACATTATCTGTGGTATAAACTATGACTAAAGCAATAAAAGCAACAAAAAAAAAATGTTGCTGAAATTATTGAAGTCAAACTTATGATACCATGTATTCAAAGAATATCTATTTAAAATTTTAATTGGAATATTATCAATAATGTCTGGAATTCGTATAATTGGAATTACATGACCGAAATAGTTCAAAATCTAACCATAAGTAAGAATTGCATGAAAATATAAAGAGCAAAATTGTTTCAAAATGCTAATGAGAAAATTTAACGCAAGAAGAATTTTTCCTTAGATGTTTTAATTTGGTAAAATCAAATTAGATGGGAAAAAAAAATTTTGGAGTCAGAGATAAATTCTTGAAGGATTTTTTTTCTGAAAGAAAAGCCTTATTATTTTATTTTTTTATACGGCTGCTCCATACAAAAAGACGTGTTCCATACAAAAGACATACAAAAAAATGTTCATTATTTTTTTCTGGTATATGATTAGATCAGGTTTTTATCAAATTTTAAATTAGTTTACAAATAAAAAATAATGTTTTGAATGTATATTAAAACTGAAAATTTGATGCATCGAAACAAAAAAATTTTTGTGTAATTTTTTATTAAATAGAACACTGTTTATATTCTAATTTGTCGGAATTTTTACTAATAGTGTTTAAAAAAATTTCAAAATTTCAAAATGTAAAAGTTTAATAAAAGTTGTAAAAAACATTTAGGAAAAAAATTTTTTAAGCAGCTTTTTGAAGACAAACTAAAATATAAAATTACTATAATACATTCAAAATTTCACGCTCTTATTTTCAAGATTTTTTGAGATTTTTCGATTAAAGTTGAAAAAAAAAATGAAGAAAATGATAATTTAAAAAAATAGTTTCAGCATCTTCTAAAAGGAATATGAAGAAGAAGAAAATTATTTCTACTGTTGGTAAAAAGTCATTTTAAAAAGAGTAATACTCAATATGAAACAATGTTCAATTGTTTACTTTAAACAGCTGTCCATAGTTCTTCACTCCTTCGAAATCTTTGATCTTCAACATTGATGGAATTTGCTTGTCGGGATCGTCTCGTGCTTGTTGTAAGGGTACTAAACTCATACGAATCAGATAGATTGCGCCTTTCAGGCAGCTCTTCAATCACGTAGCTGCTCGAGTGTCGGCAAACTGTGCAAGTTGTCAGATTGCAGATGCTGTCTTTGCAGCACTGAAGCATCATCTTTCTGAAATTGGTGGACATGAAGCCGTATATGATTGGGTTTATGGCGGAATGTGCGAAAGAGAGCAGATAAGCGGCCACTCGAAGATTGTATATGTGATCGGTGAAGGAGTTAAGACCGTGCTTGATGATGACGTGCATGATAAGGCGTGGACCCCAGCACACGAGAAAGAGAATAATAACTAGAATAAGCATTTTGATGACCTGAAAAATATTTTATTTATTATACAGGTTAATTATAATTAAAGTAACGATTTCAAAAATCGATAATTTTAAAAGTACTCGCCAGATTGACCCGATATTTTAGCAGAAAAATCATGAGGCAATGGAATTTTGTTTAGGGTACGAATTTGCCGATAGATGGCGCTGTCATAGTAAGGGTAATCTCAAGGGAAAGACCAAAAATGGAATCGTTACGTACAGAAATGTTGTTAGCCAAAAGGAAACAATATAGTTCAGGATTTACTAAAAATTTATTAGCGAAAATACGTGCTAAAAGCGACAACAGTGATAATGCTAAGAAAATGAGCTTAATGGAACAAACATCTTACTGATGATTGAGGCATAAGTTGTTCGATGTGCCCTCCAACCATTCCGCTTCTAATTGGAAGCGTAAAACGGCATGCTCCACAACAAATCGGAAGATATCTGCACTGATGCGAAGGATGTGGTGTGTTATGCTTGCCTTCAAGTCGGCAAGATTCTCAATCCACCGGCAGTAAACAAAATTCTTCAGGTACCCCAAATTTATAAATCACACAGGTTAAAGTCGAGGGAACATAGTGGCAAAATTGTTGGAAAATGGCTGATTAAGATCCTATCATCTCTGAAATGAGCACTCTGCAGTTCCTTTACAGTAGTAGCAATGAGGGAAGAGCGCCATTTTGCATCAATGTTGCGCGATCCACACACTGACGCTGCTGGAAGGACATGGTTAGTCAAAAATGCTTCATCATGCCGTTTGGCAGTAAGAGTGCAGGGAACAGGACCCGCAGGTGTGCTCTCCTCGAAGACAAACCGACCGGTGATAAACGCTGACTTTATTTCACACCATCCAGTGACTTTTTCAGAGTAAAGAGGTAATGGCTTTATCTGAAACGGAATCACGCTCTGACATATCCTGCAATTTTGCGTACTCTCAGAGTTAGAACTGTAACGAAAATTCGTTAGAAATTTCATCTTTTCTAAAACAAAACGTGCATTTCATATTGTACTATTATCGCACATTTGACGAAATTTCAGCAATTCTTTAACTTTTTTTCTGCTTAAGCAAATGTTTTCAATAGTTTATATCTCTGCAACCAAAGCGAAGTAGACAATGTTTTGTACTTTTTCTTTCGTATCAAGAAATACTAACTGTATTAAAAAAATGTATAACTTATTGCGATTTGTGTATCAATTTGTTAGAGATATTTCGATTACCTTCTTTTTCAGCTGTAAGACAGGATTGAGTAATAATAGTGTAGAACAATTAGAGAAATTTGGCTTTTTAAGAGCATTAGACATATGGTTTGATATGAATTCCTTTTCTTTAAGAGTTTCAATCGCCATACATTTAAAATAGGTAAACAATACATTTTAAAAACTACTGCCTTTTTAAAATTTGCAGAATATTAAAGGCAATTTGTAATCATTTAGAGAGTATAACAATAGGCGGATGCATAATGTTTTGAAGCTATTCTCAATTTGATGTTTTATTTCAGGTAACTGCAGGAAGGCGTTTTACTCCTTTAGTGGTTACCTAAGAAGATTGTTTTCTTTGTGGACGAGGCACTAAAAAATACTATGAGTAAGTTTATTTACAGTTTCCAATTTATCACAAACATGAAATGTTAAAATTTAAAAACAAATACTAAATGTTCTTCCATAATAACCATTACATTATAAATGACCCTTAAAACAGGAAACTATGTTATTAAAAATACAAAGTTGGATAAATCGCTTATTCAAAGATAAATCAAAGTGTAAATATAATAGATTATTCATTATTTTATTTTAAAACGACGAAATGAAAAAAAAATTAGTAAAATTAGTCAGACACTTTTTAAGTAATGAAATAAAAAATAAATAGATAAATAAGAAATATTTGTCCAGATCTGTTTGGCCGATTCAGTTTAAGCTTTAAATTTTGTCAATTAAAACTACTTAGCAAAAAAGTATCACAAATTTATCAATAACAATTTAAATGAACGAATAAAATTATTAAACATTCATAAAAATTATTAATCTGTAAATAAGTCAGTTATAAAAAAATTTGAAAATGTTTTGAAAAATTGCAAATTTTTTTTTGATTTTTCTTAATTTTGTCAGAGATATGTGAGAAATACGATAAAAATGAAATAACATGAAGAAGTTCAAACTTTTGGTCACTCTCCTAATGTTAGTAGTAGGACAATATTTTTCAGATTTCTAGCACCTCCCATACTTTGAAGATAAAGAATTCAAACCCGTAAGAAATAAAGTGTAATTATTTAAAGAAAGTACATTTTAGTAATTGATTTTGTAATTTAAGGTATACGTTTAAAATAGGTAACGAATTATGTAAACCAATTGATTTGTATAATTAAGGTCGATTACTCTAACTATTTAGAATTTATATTAATAATATTCAGGTGTGAAATTCAAAATGTCTTAAATACTATTGTTTAAAAAGAGTGATACATAAAATGAACTTAAATGTAATTTGTTTCTAAAACAGCGCAAAAAAAGTATTTAAATTTAATATAGGTGCGACATATCATTTCAAATGTATTGTTGAGCTAAAGTAAACACGACGAAAAAAGTTAGAGAATTATAATAACGAAATAAATAAAATTAGAGTGAAACCTCCAGGTAAGACCACATCTATGTTATGATCTCCTCTAAATACAACCACTCTTAGGAGACACGGATTTTTATCCATAGACTTTGTCGTTAGGAAAATTTTTAGGGTAAACCATCAAAACCTCTCCCAGATATAGAGCAATTCTTCTCACCAAATAATGCGGAAAAGGTTAATTAAGGAAGCACGAAAAAATATCAAAACAAAAAAATGTTAACAAAACAAATACATAGATTAAAATGTATTCAAATCAAAATAATTTTGTGAGGCTTTGATTCAGAGAGCTCTATTTGATGATCTCTGTAAGAGATCTACAACCACATGTTGTAGTCAGAGCGCACTACAGATGATGCCATCATTGTTTTATTTTTAGAGTTGAAAGTTAAATCAGGAAATAAAAGCTATTTTAGAAAAACTAAGCATTTCAAATAAACTTTAATGCTGAAAAATTTTTATGATATGAAATTAAATGCAAACTGAAACAAAGAATTAAAACGTAATTATTTATTTGAAATAGTTCGATCTTTTCTAATTGATAAATTTGTTTTTGCGCATTATTATATTTAGGGATCATTTTTATTGACACTAAAGTTTATTCAAGTTTTTGTGGCGCTAACACAAGTGGCATTTCCGCTCCAAGAAAATGACACTGACTAAAAATAAAATCGTATGCGAAAAATCATGTATAACAATTTTGAAGTTAATGGAGGTAACCTCTAAGAACGACCAACCTCCATCAGCGATTATTTTACTGTGAAACAGCTGAATTCAGAATTCTGACCTGCTTTCGTGCATGCTGTATTTCTAAGCCTTGTCTGTGTATACTCAGCATTCTCTCTGGTGTCGCCCTCTGTTGTCGGCGGCCCCAATTAAATCGTAATAAGCAATGTCTCGAATTATGCAACTCCTCTCTGTCCGAATCACATCTACATATAACAAAGAGAAACAGACATAACTTCATTCGCATCTCTGCAGACAACAAACAAACAACAATAAACAATTTTTTTTCCATGTTTAACATAAATTATTGAACCTTTTTGAATGGTAGAGTTGTGTTTCAAATGAACGCAACTTTATTCTAACATTTAAGAGGAGGATTACCATTGTAAGAAAGAAGTTGTCTTTTGTCATTAGAGTCTAATTTAATTAATTAATCAGAATAATTTCCTATTTTAGTTTTTGACACCAAAAGTTTAGATTTCAGACTCATTAGGCAAGTAAACTGGCTTTTAAATCGTTTAATCAAACATTTGTTTTTTCTGACCACAATAATGGTTTGTTATGCTTCGGAAATATTTTTGTTTGTTTCTTTTTCGTGATTAAATATAGGTTTGTTACTCTTAATGTACAGAGCGCAAAAAAAAAAAAAAAAAAATATTTTGACTAATTTTTGATACTCACGTTCATAACTCATTTTTAATGGTTAGAGGGGTGGCCTCAAATAAGTTAATTAATTAATGCAAACGATATTTTGAATTACGAAATAAGACGCAACAGCGTATTTTCTCTGAATAAACATACCCTTTTTTATGCGAATTCGAATTTCTGACCACAAAAATATAGAGGGTAGCTGCACTCTGGGAAATATAGCCCCTATAGTTTGGTCAAGAGAACGATCCAAAGTTTGGAACCATTAATTTTAATTTTACTTCATGTGCATTTCCTCATATCTCGAGAATTGTTTAAACGAATTGCAAATTTTTTGCACACAGTTATAAAATTCAGTTATCCAAAGATAAATATTTATTATTTTTTTTTGTATTTTATAAAATAATATCCGAAAAAAATTTTGAACTGTATGGTATATAATTTTTCACAACATTTTAAAGTATGTAATTTTGCAAAGAAAAATACAAAATTCGAGCAAATATGGTTGAATAGTTCAAAGAAATCGAATTTTTAAGAAGACGCAGATTTAAAATTCGATTTTTCAGGAGCTATTTAACCAATTTTTTCTCAAACTTCGAATTTTTCCATGTAAAATTACCAACATCAAAATGAAGTAAAAAAATTTTATAACTTACAATTAAAAATTTTTTCGACTATTTTTAAATCAAACAAAAAATTAAAAAAAATATTTCCTGAAATTTATTTTTTTGTATGGAATTATCTTTGAATAAATTAATTTCATAATATGAGCAAATTTTTTCAAATTTCTTGAAAAGTTTTAGAGATATGGCGAAATACGCAAAAAGTAAAATTAACATTAAGGGGTTCAAACTTTGGATCGCTCTTCTGGTTAAACTATGGGGACCATATTTCCCAGATTTTAGCCTCCTCTATATTTTTGAAAGTCAGAAATCCAAATCCGTAGAAAAAAAGCTATGTTTGTTCTGAGAAAGTACGTTTTTGTGTCTGATTTCGTAACTTAAAACATCATCTGCACTAATTAATTAGCACATTTGAGATCAGTCTCTCAAACCATTAAGACTTAGTAATAGAACGTAAACGTCCGATCACTGAATCAAAAGTTATTCAGGATGGTTAGTTCTTTTTGGAGCACTGTACATAGCATTTTAATTTCACTCCTTTAAACAAATTTTAAAAATGTACATTAAGAGCTTCTTTTACGGAATACTGTGTGAGTATGCTAGATTGTGTGACTATTTAGAGCTCGAAAAAGTTTTTTTTCTCACTTTTATATTAGTTATAATAGCTTTTCATTTTTCAGCGATCAACATTGTGCCTTGTTCTTTGTATACTGTACATACACTGTATATACTTAACTGTTCCCCTACTTTATCACGTTTTCCGATGAAAGAAAAGCTTACAAATCGAGGTAAAATGACTTCTGGATGCGATAAAAACACTCAAAATAGTGACAATTTAAATGTAAATTTTAATTATAATAAGAAAAAAAAGATTTTTATAAACATTACAATATTAATATCAATCAAAGATTTTGTTTCCTCCCTTAGAGTTAACGATATCTATAAGATTAAGAATCTTAAAAATTTTTCCTTTTCTAATTTACACATTAAAATTAGTTGTTTCTATCTGGTGAAAGTTAAAATCAGTAAAATTTCAGCAAATTAAAAAAAAATATATATACATATAGATAATTTATATTTTGTTACTGATTTTCAAAATACTATTTTTGATATGTTTAAATTTCATAATATATTTAACAAATTAAAGATATTCCATTGAATGATTTTAACGTAATTAAGAGCTATAAATATAACAAAACTATTAGTAGAACTATTTGTAATTATAATGATATTAGCAAATATTTAGTCAAAAGTAATATATCCGATTATGAATGTCACTGTGAAGAAGGGAAATATTTCGAATTTGTTGATAAAAATCTTAAACGTATTATTGCTGGTTGGTTGCTGTATATTTTAACGAGCATTATTATGAGCACTTGCTCTCGTTGACTTCTGAACCCAGTGATTTTAGTGAAAATAACTAAATTGTGACATGTATTTCCAACAGTCATGAATTCAACATTTACAGGTGAACAATATGCTATTTACAGATATTGTGTCTAATGTGCGTTTCATTTTAGAATTTTTTTAAATGATATGGAGACAGCTCTTTTACCCGAACTATTAATCTGTTCAATATAAATATATTTATCATATATTTTGAAGAAATAATTCTTTATTAAACATTAGATAAATTTCAGGACTTCAGATTTTCAAAAATTTTCAAATTATTTGGATATTTATGGTTGTTGTTACTTATCCCCTTGGTCTAGAGCCCTAGACCAAGTCCAGAAGATCATGTCGCATCAGCAAGTCATAGACAGTCTCTCCATCACTCATCACAGAGGCACCAATGCAATCCAAAAGATGAGATGGAGAAACGATGGCCGAGCAATGACAATAGACATAAGTCTTTTATTTTGCTAATTGTGTGATTTAAATTAAATGTGTGATTTAAATTGTACTATTAATTTCAGAGATGCTATTAGGTTCCCTACCCGAAAATACTTACATTAATTACTAGAAAAAAGTTTGGATTGTCATACAATTTTCAATTCATTTTAATCTGCTTAGCGATGATATTTTATTCATATGCTAGCATTATTTCTACTCTTGACCTTACAGTAAACTGAATTAAAATAGACGTATTTCATCGCTATTTTTTATTGTGATTGAAAATCTCTGTTATTCACTTTTAAAAGAGATTAGATGAAAATTTTTGTATACATGATCCTCAGTATACAAGTAAAGCAAATTGTTTTTTATTGTTATGTTTCCATATGAAGACTTATGTGTTCATTACAAAACTCCCTTTAAAAGCCATGTGAAAGTCTAAGAAAATATTGCTTTAATTAGAGAAACACATTACAAAGATGTGTCTATTGCAACGTGGAGATCGCTAGTTTGAATCCCACTGCGTCCCTGGCTGTATGTGTGTGCTACCTTTATCTATCTTGTGCTACTTATAAACCGATTTGACAAAGGCACATTAGCCGAGCTTCGTAAAGAGCACACAGAGCAGCTCATGTGTGCATAACAATAAATAAATAAACATATAATTAATTATAAATAAATAAATATGTAATTAAATATTAATAAATAAGTAGNTCTTTGAAGAATACAGCTAGCTTTTCCTCCCTCTTTAAAATTTAGTCCCGCAGCGGACTGATCGTTAAGACACAGTTCCCAGTTGATCACCGAAGTCAAGCATCACTGGTTGCGGTCAGTGTGCGGGTGGGTGACCACTTGGATCAGTCTGCATAGGGACCGAGGATGTGCAGTATTGGTCCTCGTTAAACTGTTCTACTGTAAAGTTCTCGACTTCACGTGCAGGTCGTCGGGCTACCGAAGTGACGTAAATGAATTACAGTTACAACAACTTTGAAATTTAAAACTTTTTTTAGTAAAGAAGTAGTAAATACTCAATTCCAATTTCTCTTGAAAATCCAGAACTTTTTGGATTCAATTTAAATGATATTTTAATGATATTTGACATTACTGAAGTTGAACATGCATGTTGGATAAATTATTATGGAATTGTATATAGGTAAAAATTGTTTTAAGCTATAGATTCTAAGAATTTCCTACCTATTTTCCGTTTAATTATAAACATTATTGTATGCAAAATTTTACTGCTTTTTTCTACGTTTTTTTAGCTGCTGTGTATTTTAACGAGCATTATTATGACTACTTGTTCTCATTGACCTCTGAACCCAGTGATTTTTGTGAAAGTAACTAATTTGTTACATGTATTTCCAACAGTCATAAACTCAACATTTACAGGTGAACAATATGCTACTTACAGGTATTGTTTCCAATGTGCGTTCCATTTTAGAATATTTTTAAAATGATATGGGGACTGTTTTTTTATCCGAACTATTAATCCCTTCAATATAAATATATTTATCACATATTTTGAAGAAATAATTCTTTATTAAATATTAGATAAATGTCATGACTTCAGATCTTCCAAAATTTTCAAATTCTTTAGATATATTCTTTCACTATATTATAGTTTACTATTCTGAACATGCAGAAGCTGTTCTACACAGTTGCTGTTATTACTCCTGCATTTTTAAAAAATTGATCGCTGCTTAATAAAGGAAAATTTGGTTTAAATTGTGTGTCTGTGTATTTTTTAATGACAAAACCTGTCACTGTCGTGTTCGTAATAAAAAATAAAATAACTTGAAGAATATTGCATTTTTATTTAATTCAAAGTACTTATGTTGCATAATATTAACGTTTATTGGTATCAAAAAATAGACTGGTGGAGGTTTGGCATTCTGTTCAGATGTTCACTCGTGAAAAATAGACAAATAAAAAGAAATTTTTTCTTCGTAAGTGTCCTTGTAAGAAAATCTGTTTATAACTAAGATGTAAATTTGTGATTTTTTTGGCGCTCCTTTTACTATTGTATAGATACATTTTGTCTTGCTTACATTGATACGATATTAGACAACACTCTATTTTGCGGATTTAATTGTGAGAGCTGA